CTGGCTCCCTGGAGGTGGAGGGACACCCTGGTCAGGCAGCTCTGGGTTGGGAGCTGGGCTGAAAAGCCAGGCATAGGGTGGGAGAGGGGCAAGTGAGAAATTCCACTGCATCCAGGATGGTGGGCCACTGGACTTAGGGAGAATCCCCAATCTCCCTAGGCCGGGGGCACCTACCCGTCAGGAAGAACACGGCCACAGTCAGCACCACTGCTTTCATCCTGCAGGGTGTGGGAACCTGGAGGAGAAGAGGGGCCTGGCTGAGGGGGCCTTTTGTGTGAAGGAGTCCCGTGTTCCCCCATGTAGTCAGCCAGGGGAGGAGGAGGAGCCTAAAGTGAAGAAAGCCCCAGGTACTCAGGTCCTGCCCAACACCTAGAGCTGGGGAGCCAGAGTAGTCTGGGGCAGGCACCCGCACTTACCTCCAGGAACTCTCCAGCAGTCTCTGACTGTCTAGCTCTCCCTGGTCTATTTATGCCTCCAGGTAGGGGCTGGGCTGGAAGACAGATAAGCCCAGCCAGGCCCTGTCACTGCTCACTGGTTCTGGCGATGTGGAACTTAGAGTTCAAGGATCAGCTCTGCCCAGGAGCCAGGCAAATAGAGTGGGCAAACAGGAAGCTGCGGGGGCTGCAGGGCAGAGGTCAAGGGTTCAGACAGGGGCAGGATGAGGGTGGCTGTAGGCTTGTGGGTCCCCAGGTTCGGGGCAGCAGCACCCATCATGCCCTTCCCCTCCCAGTGTGGGAGTGTGTGCATGTCATTGTGCATTGTGCCTGTAGCAGGGAAAGAGGGGAAGGGACCTGGGACTCCTCCACTCAGGAGATCTCCTCCCCCACAGTCTTCTTGCATTTCAAGGATTGTTTCACACGTCTGTCTGCACTGCTCCTGCCTCTTCTGCCACCAACCCTGGTTCCTTTTTTAGTTCCCAGGGTGCCATACACTTCTCTTCACCCTCCACAGGCTTCCTAAACCCCAAATCCAAGGGAATCTGTGGCACTAAGGAGTTGTGGGAGGAGGATGCTCAGGGCCCCAAATGGAGATTTCAGAGGCCTCTGACATATCAAAATAAATGCTAGATACCAACATGAAGTTGCCAACTATTCATTTTGTCATTAAAAGATATTACCCTTGCCTTCCTTTCAAAGCCAACTTCACCATCTACCATCACTTCAAAACAGACTTTTTAACACCCAAAAAGCATAATCTCAGAATTCAAGTGTAGAATTTCAGTCATTCACACATGCACCTTTACATTGTTTGTGTTTTCATTTGATCACACACAAATGAGAGTGGCTATCGGATCTGAGAAAGCCCTGTGTAGAGGAAGGACTCTTGGAGGTGGAAGCAGAGGGAGACCTGTTTTCTTTTTGTTTCATTTTGTCTGCATCTTGCTGAAGGAGGAATGTAAGCCAGTTATATAACCTCTCTAAGCTTCAGTTTCCTATCTGCGGATGAGCTCAAGAAATGTCCAAGGTGCTGAGGCCCCTGAGAGAGGCTATAGGTGGAAGGTGCCCTGTGTCGGTTGGTGTTTGCAGCACCATCTTGCAAGGTTTCGCTAGGAAAGCCCAGGTCATGCAGCCTGTGAAAGTCCAAGCTGAGAGGAACTTTGAAACCAACTACTCCAGCCTCTCCCCACCCTGTCACCTTCCAGATGTGGAACTGAAACCAGTGGAAGGAATCAACATCTCATCTCTCCGAGAGTTAGAGGCATGGCTGGACTTAGCACCCATGTCTCTGGACTTAGGTTCCAGGGCAGGTATGCACCCTATACCATCACCCCAGGAAACTCCCCAACTCTCTAGAAATCAGCTTGTGTTTCTGTCAGACCTGGGAGTGGCTGAGATCCAGGCCTCTCCCACTCCAGCCCCAGCTGATATCCTGCCTTTTGTCTCTTAGAAGCCTTTGGAACCAGAGACCTTAGGTTTGAATCCTGGCTCTGACACTTATTAGCCATATGACCCTGGGTAAGTTACATAACCTTCCCACATCTCAGGTTCTTATCTGCTAAATGAAGATAATGATAGAACATGCCATCTCTGATTAAAGTTATAACAGGGGTCACAGTGTACATGGTAGGCAGAATAATGGTCCTCCAAAGATGTGCGTGTCCTCCTCTCTGGAATCTGTGACTGATTGTGCATAGCAAAAGGGGTTTTGCAAGTGTGATTATGAACGGCCCAGGGTAATCACAATCGTCCTTCAATATCCAGAGGGAGGTGGCAGAGTCAGTGGCAGAGTCCGAGATATGAGGATGGAAGCAGAGGTTGGAGCAACGTGAACACTGGAAGGATGAGCCAAGAGATGCAGGCAGCCCTTCCCTAAAAGAGGTGAAGGGACAGATTTTCCCTTAGAGACTCCAGGAGCACAATGCCAGGGACACCATGAATTCAGCCTAGTGTGACCCCTTTGGGACTTCTGACCTCCAGATTTGTAAAATAATAAATTTGTGTTGTTCATAAGCATGAAATGTGAGCACGTATGTGAAACTGTTAAGAAGGTCACTAACACTCAATAAATAGTAACTATTCGCATCCCAGAATCCCGGGTCCTGGATTCCATCCCCTATTGCCACAAACACACTTGCATTGCCACAGAATAGCCCAGGACCTCAGCTTCTAACAGCAGAAGTCCGGAAGGCAGGGAATCCCACAGTTCTGTCTTTGGCCTTGCTTGCAGGTGCCCAGATGGGGTACATCTCCAGGACAGAAGCTATTCCTGATGTCTGGCTATTGGCCATCCCAGCTGTCTGTGGTTTACAGAGAGGGTGGGAAACTGACTTCCCACCCAGTGTGGGCAGCCACTGGATCTCAAGCCAAGAGATGTTCCTTTCTTAGGATGGGGGTTGATTTCATCCCAGCCAGCATGTAGGGGATCTGAGAAGCTTATCAATTGGACTCCAAGCTATCTGCTACTGTTTTATCCTTCTCTTGGCTTATTACTGAAATTATTATGGTTAAACCTAATATTTAATATCTGCACAGTTCTTTTGTGGCCGAAGCACTTCCACAGTTAACGTATGTCCCCATGAGGCTGGACACTGTAGCTTCTCCTTACCATTGTGCCTGTCAGAAAACTGCAGCTAAGAGCTCAGAGCTGCCTGGACCTCTTCAGCTGAGAACTGTGTGATGCAGGGCTGGGAATCAGGAGCCTTGGCTTCTTGTTCTTTGATGGGGGCCTATTGGCTTATGTAGCCCTAGGACTCTTCAGGGATGTTCTTGGCTTGGGGATTCCAGGGCATCAGCAGAGGTAGGGAGCTGTGGGACAGCACCTCCCTAAGCAAGAAGTTTCCTTGTTGAAACTATTTATTCACTGGTGTCTGCTCCATTTCACTGCAAGTCGTAGGCTTAAATGAGTCTAGATAGATACCTCTTTACTATTTGGGAAAGGAAGGAAATCTTTCTGGACAGAGGCCTACGGAAAAACTAACAAACTGGGCTTATCACAGAATCTGGGTCCAGTGACAATAGGAATTTCAAGAGCCTGGGGTTAGACTGGCTTAGTGGATGTGGGGCCTCTCACCATTTATTGGTCCTTATTCCCACCATCCTCTTCCCTCCTGTTGGGAACATTGCTGAAGTGGCCTCCAAGCGCAGGCCCTGGACCCCCCTGCCATGTGTGGGCGAGCTGGCACCTGCTGCAGGGGTGATTCTGCTCAGAATGACTGGCAACCCATTTCACAATATATGACCCAACATACTGATCAGTCTGCATGGGAGAGGACTCTGTCCCTTGCTAGGCCTGGCACCTAACAGACACTCGCCAAACATTTGCTCAATGTGTGACACTGGCACACTAAAGGAAGTTTCACCAGATTGGCAAAGGGTCATGTGAAGGAGCAGACCCTGAGCAGGAAGACTCAAGAAATGAGCACTCAGCCTTGTGGCGGGCCCTGCCCAGAACACACGTGTGACCACACAATGGTTTGGGCTAAGATGGGGGAGCTAGGATTGGGGAGGTTCTGCTTGAGCAGGGGAGAAGACCCCAACCCCCCACACATCCTACTGGATAATTTTGTCACAGCTCTTGTGATAGAGCCCCAAGGTGGACTCTAGGACATCTTTGAATACCCAACTCTGCCTGATCTTCCTGCCCAGGAAGAGGCCATCATAGCTCATCTTTGACCAGCATGAGGAAGCACAGCAGCCCCTGGAATTCTTATCTTTGTAGGCAGAGTGGGGTGGGACCTGGCACAAAGTCAGAAAGGGGATCTTGTAAGGAGACGTCAGCACAGTTTCCATTTTCCAGAACGCGGAGATCTCCAGTGCCCTGCTTCAGCACCCAGGGAAAAAGGTGTACAAGTTTTTGAGAGAAATCTGGGCGTATCACGGTTTGGTTCCAGAGATTCACCTTTCCCTGCATGTGGTGTGTACAGACTTGGGACCTCCAAAAGACCCTGAGAAGGCCCTTGCTGTTCTGATCAGTCCCACAGCAACTTTCTAGTCCCCCATGGGCTGTCAAGTTTTCATAAGTTACCTCCACTTGTTCTTTTTACAATCTTAGTAATTCCAGTTTCAGAAAGCTTTGTTCATAGAAGACCTCCAACCAGCTCCCTGGGACCTCAGTGGGAATTCTATCCTACTCCTTGGAGTTCAGGTGTGGAGAAAGGGAAAATGTAGGAAAAGTCCCCCTTTTACCATACTTATACCACTTACTTTGGCTATCATGTCACCAAGCTGATTGGGTTTGCCCCATACGACTCCAGCCATGGCCAACATCGTTGAGTTCCCTCTTCTCCTCCTTCACAAGTACCCTTTCAAGGAATTTGTTTTCCATCTACTCAGCAATACCAGTGCTCCCAGTGGAAGGAGTGAAGTCCAAGCCGCAGCTGAGTTCGGTTTCTAGAGAATGCCAGGTCCATAAGGCAAGGCAGACGCTGCTCACGGCCCAACCCCAAGCTTGGCAGACTTCTCCCGCCCTGAGCCTTCCAGCTTTCACACCCCCCCTCCCCCCCGCCGCCCAATGCTTCTCTCAACTAGACTCTGAACCACAAGGCAAATAACATATCAGCATTAGAACATAATCAGGTTTTTATTTTCACAACCTCCTACTGTCCAACCAAGTTACTAAGTTGTAAATGCCCCACACAAACAAGGACAAAAGGTCTTAGCAACTTGAGTCTGGAGATTTTTTTTTTTTAAATCCTTTTTTAGTTCAACATAATTGAGAAAGAAAAAATACTTCTGACATTTTTGAAGAACAGAAATAGGAAAGTATATTCATATACATTCAACATATACTGCGCATATTGGTTACTACAATACAAAGCAATGATGTCTTTAAAAGTGTAGTTCGCAGGATGGCACGGTTAATAGGCTCACTGGCTTTCATCTGGGTGGTTGCTGGAGGGTGGCATCTGCTCTTCCATAAATCCAGTACCATGTAAACAGATCAGGCTGAGTGTGTGGTAGCGGTAGGGCGAGCTGGGGCATCAGAGCTGGAACAAGCCCAGAGAAGTCAACAATAGCTCTTAGGCCTTTCTTGGTAAGTAAGCCTCCTTCTGGTGAGTACTTGGTGACTCTACAAGTGGAGGGGAGACTTGGGGCCATGGAAACATGGGACAGATCCCCAGCAAGGCTCTTGCACTGCAGAAATCCACTTGTGGGATAGTGGGCCCAGGAGCTGAGCTGCCAGTACTAGTGAAGACGGACAAGCTGCATGGGGATCCTGCCAGCAACACCAGGATGGCTGCACTGGGCACCTGCTCTCTTCTGTGCAAATTCAGGATGAAAAACTAGGAGGGGGGGTTAGGAATCTTTTACTCCCCTTTCCCAGAAGAAAGGGTTGAGAGTCAGGATATCTAATGTCTCTCTGGTTTTAAACATCAGAAGAAGATAATCCAGATCCCCTCTCAGTCCCCAGCCAGCAGAAAAGACTTTGGTTTCTAACAGTGAAGAGAAAAATAAAAGTAATGACATAAACAATAGCTATTGCGTATGCGTTGCTTCAACTGGGGAAAGGAGACCACTGCATCTGTCACTGGCACAAGAGAGAGCTGTTTACAATAACAATGCCTAAAGAAAATGCTTTGAACCAAAGGTGCAAATCACAATTCAAATAGAACAGAATCTGGTTAAACATTTCTCTTTTAAACAAAAATTCCTTTTGTCTTTATTTATTAATAATAACAATAATAATAACAATAATATCAACATTTACCAAAAACAATTCCTACATGATTAAGAATGAAAATATAGGGGCTGAGGATACCCAGGGAGAAGGTTAAGAGACAGGCAGGACCCAAGACAACCTCCTATTCTTCTTGCCTGTGACAAAGAGCTAAAAGGGACACACACACACACACACACACACACACACACAATGGAAAAACAATCCTTTTCATAGCACAGTATAAAATGAGAAAGAAAGAAGACACACAAAACATAGTGCACCACTGTTGGGTGTTTAATTCATGGGCAGAACCAGCAGGATGGTAATGGTGACCAACTTTGCAGGTTGCCAGAAGGGAGCTGAGTTATACACCAAAAAGAGGCTCAAGTTGAGACCTTCAAGGTGGCAACCCAATGGCGTCAGGTCACTCACAGCCTCTATGCAGGCCAGGTGTGTATCTAGTGGATCCTGCCAGCAGAGACCTCCAGGTCCTCCTCTTCTTATTTTTACTCTTTTTGTTCCCCAAGGGCCAGAGGCCATCACCCATTCCCTCTCCCTTTCTCTGCGACTGAGATTCCAGAGATGCTTTCCTCTTGCATTTGCTCCCGTGGAAGAGCAATGCAGAGCAAGGGAGGGTGCTCTTAGTGAAGCCTGTGAGGCGAGTGGCCTGAGGTCTTGGCCCCTGAACTCTAACTGCTGGCTCTCCTGTCTCAAAAAGGAAAAGAAAGAAAAACACAAAATACAGAGACAAAAAAGAAGAGGAAAAAAAAAAAAAAAGAAAAGAAAGAAAATCACCTCCTGAAGGAAATACTGAAAACAAAACCAACCAAAAAAAAAAGCACAAACAAACCCCAAAACAAAACAAAAACATCCCTCCCAACTCAAATACACCAAATACACTTTCACAAAAGATGGAGAACATGGATTTCCTGTTTATTTCCTTGGTGACTTGGTCGTTTGAGCAAACATGGCAAAAACACCCTCAGAACCCAAAAGAACAGCACACTGATGAACTAAATGTGAGGAAAGGAGCCACAATATTCTGGGTGGAGAGAAACACAATGGCAATTTGGCGCAACGCTGCTAGATACTGTTGGTTTAAAATCAACCTTCTGATTCCCAAGCTGTACACAAACCTGCAATAAAGCAGAGAAGAACAGTTTGAAAGGAGCAAGATCAACATTTCAAAAATTTTTTTGGTGCTGGGGATGGACCCAGAGCCTTGCACTTGGCAGGCAAGTGCTACACCCCCAGTTCTGAACCCTCCCCACTTTTTTTAAACATAACTTGTGTTGTCTTATCTCAGGTATTTTAAGAGCCTGGCCATACTGAGGTTCTGATATTGGATTTGCCCGATGGCTTTACTTTCATCAAGTCTTTTCTGTCTTTCCAGAGACAGAACCGACAGTCCCCAGTGCAGACCCCTTTGCAAACCAGTCAATTTACCCACATTCTACCACTGGCCTCTGATCATTATTCTCCATGCCAGAATATCCTGTTGCTTTCTCCTTAAAAAAATTTGGCTAGATATGTTTTCCTATTGGGTTTCTATCTCCATTCCCTAGTAACTGGCCTTTGTGCCATAGCTCCTCTGCCTCTGTGGGGTTATGACACCCACACCACAAGGAGGGGCATGAGCCTTAATGTAAACCAAGGAACCACGTCCTGCCATTTCTTTTACATGCTCCCATGTACACCCCAAAACTAGCCCAGTGCTTAGTGACAGAGCAGGAAGACGTGAGGGATGCAGGGGAAAGTGGTGCTGTCAGTTTCACTGGCTGACACACACTGAATGCTCCGCGGGATCAGAAGATGGCACTAGGCCACAGGTGGCTTGGCCCTCTCCAGGACGACACTCACTCTCCATTCCTTGTTACACGCCTGCCTGCTCCATGCTGAAGGAGACCTCAGGGTGCTTGTAGCTGAGCAGAATGTCTGTGATACACGTAGATGGATAGCAAGAGGCGTTTATATGCTGGCTGCCATCACCCAGGTCAGCGTGCTCATGACCTCCCAGACTCACCCCACATTCTGCAAGACCAAAAAAGAACATGTGAGATTAGCAGGGAACCAGAGAGGCAGTGGGCAAGGGGAGAGCGAGGAGGAGGGGGAGACAACCTGTCTGAGCAGCCCACAGCCTGACTCTCAGCCCCGAACTCCAGCTTGCAGCAGGTTCCAGTTCTGAGCACCTGGGTGAATCTTCCTGATTCTTCCCTGTATGTCCCATTTTCCCTTGTCTTTTATCCCTCTAACCTCAGAACCAGCAAGTACTCTATGTGGGAGGAGACAATTGCTCCTTCAGAAAGTCTTGCCTCTCTAAGGGTAAGATGACAATGGCAGTGCTCAAAGGCACCGTTCCCAGGTGTGCTGTTCTGGGTGCCCCACTGCACACTCCATCTTGCTGTTCCATTAAGCCAGCATCCCTTACAGCACAGCCCAGGATACAAGCTCTTCTGAGTCTGTCACTTTACAGGTAAGGAGCTGGGGATCCAGAAAGGTTAAATGCTTCCCCTACAGTGCCTATAAAGTGAGGACCTGTCCATCCTCAGGCCTATGCTTTATATTTGTTATGACGCCTCCCTTGACTGGTTCTAAGAGGAGGTAGAAATTCCATTAGAGCTGGGCACAGTGGTGCACACCTGTAATCCCAGCAGCTTGGAAGGCTGAGCCAGAGGATCTCAAGTTCAAAATCAGCCTTAGCAACTCAGCAAGGCCCTAAGCTCTCAGGTCTTAGTGAGATCCTGTCTCTACATAAAAAATATAAAGGGCTGGGGATGTGGTTCAGTGGTTAAGCACCCCTGAGTTCAATCCCTGGTACCAAAAAAAAAAAAAAGTTCCATTAGGATACAAGACCCTCTAGTCAGAAACAGAAAACAGCTATTAAAGGTACCTTCCCAGGGGCTGGGGTTGTAGCTCAGTGGTAGAGCACTTGCCTAGCATGTGTGAGGCACTGGGTTCAATTCTCAGCACCACCATTTATATAAATAAATAAAATAAAGATCCATCAACAAACTAAAAAAAATAATTAAAAAAAGATACCTTCCCACAGCATTAGAAATTGGAATGTGATCACCCAGTGCTTAGTCAGAAGTCACGCCTCCTGCACACACTCACATTTAGGGGAGACAAGCGAGGAGAGGTACTATGTCCAGAACCCCATGGGGATGTGGGGGATCTACCTCCCCATGAACTCCTTCCACAGAAGAGAGGGGTCCCTGGCAAAGGTGGAGGAAGGGCCCCTCCAGGAACTTATCCAGGGTATCCCAAGCAAAAGGCTCTTACCTTCGTTTTCCCCATCCTGAAATTGCTGGCTACCCATGAGCGAAGACTGACTGAGAACTGCATCTGACATCCGAGCAGAACTAAGTGCTTTCCCAGCCACAAGACTCATTCCTGGCAAGTTATCCAGCTGTACCTGCAGAAGACAGGAAAGGAAATAAGGATACCAGAGAATGTGCCCTTCTCAGGTGACCTATAGGGACAGGAGTTTCCGCTAAAAGAGCCAGGGCAAAGGATGGCTTGGGGCACCACTCCCTGACTCCTTTCCTCTGCAGCATCATCCTAGGGGGATGCAATGGTGACCATGGGAAGCTACCTCAGCTTCCCTTATGCAGTGAGTGGGAGGGCTGGTTAGATCCCTCTGACACTTACATGTCCTTCTAAAACCAGGAGCTATACCCCCACCCCTGGAGTCTATCTTCAGACATTACTGTTCAGGTGTACTCTTCAGTTGTCTCTACCCTGGGTGGTAAACAGGCTAGCTATCAGCCACAGGGGGCTAGGGAGCAGGCCAAGTATGACTGGTATAACTGAGGCCCTAACTCTGTAATTTTATTTCATTTTGATAAATTTAAATTGGAATAGCCATACTTGGCCAGCTGCTTCCATGTTAGTGCCACCCTAGCAGCATGCCCCAGACCATGAAGCTTTGCTGAGTCAGATCAGCTCCCCGTGTCACAGTAAGTTCAATGTGGTTGCTGACAGCAAACCAAGAGCCTAAAGGTTCATTTCCTGGGATATGAATTTAGACTGTTTGGGGTTTAATAACAGCCTCTAGATGGCAACTAGTTTTGATTCTTTTGTCTAAAATTTGGAGTATATATTTTAATGGGAACCTGTTGGAGTTAAGGGCTGGTCTGTGAATGGGATTCAAAGAAATGCCCCCTTATCTCCCAGAGGGGATCTCTCTGACCAACGAGTGGAGGCGTGGATGCTACCCCTTGCTACATTGTTCCTTTTCACAAGTTGGAACTGGTGGGATCCAATCTCCAACAAGCAGGAGGGACCAACATACATAAGCATCGTCACTGTTCTGGATTGTATGATGTCTCTGGAGGGTCCGGGGCCTGTGGTGTTCACTGACTGAGGGCCGTGCTGGATACCCAAGCCCATTGTGATCTGGCAGCTCCAGTGCTTGTCCTGGAGAACTTCTATCCATGCAGTTCCCTATAACAGACTCTAGAAAGAGAGCAAAACAGGGTGAGCAGGCCTGCAGCTTCTCCCAGCAACATCACCTCCCATGAAATGAAATGACCTTCAAGGGACAGTGAGAAAGGTCAGGACCACTTCTGCACTAACAGCTAATACCAGTCATCTGGTAATAGTGCTTAGAGGAGCCTGGACCAGCATGAGAACCCAAGTCCTACAGCAAATATGAGTTCATGAAGGGACCATACCCCACGAGAATGCCACATAATGGGAGCCGGCTGGACTATATGAACCTCTTCTTTTTTTCATTTTTCTGTTTACTGAACTCCGTTGTGTTGCCAAATCCAGATGTACAGAGGGATGACTCCTGGAGTGTTCAGGAATCTGTAGCCTGGGAGGATGGCCTCCATTCTATTCTGTGGATGTCTCCTCTCTTCCTCAGCACCACCCCAGACCTCTCTTCTCTCTACTTCTCTAACTGCTGCTCCCAAATCCTGTGGTTCCTTCACCCTTTATTAGCAAGCACTCTTCAATTTCTGTCTTTGACTTTCTCTCTCCCACAGTTACTTTGGCAATATCTATTTCTACAGTGCCAATGTAATTCCTCTATGTGAAGAATTACTGAAATGATCTTTTAAGGTCAAGATCCATATTTCCGATTATTTCCAGCACGCAATTGGACACTTACTATGTCCAATTCCAAACCCACCACCTTCCCCCATAGCCTGTTACTCCTTCAGACACCCTTGCTTTGATACCTCATTTTCCAAATCTTCTAAGTTCTTAAGATCACTACTGAGTGCATACTCGTGGTTCACAACAGTCTAAAGAATCTACCAGAGTTACTTTGGCAATACCTATTTGCTAGCTTCAGTCCCAACCTTCTCAGTCTCACTGAAGCCCTAGCACCTCTTGCCTGGATGATTACACTAGCTGCCTAACCATCCCCAACACTACCTGACAAACATTAACCTTTCTATAGAGTAGTCCATACACTTCCTTTTCACAGCTTTGCCTTGGCTTATCTTCCAATGAGCCTCTCACACTCTGCTCCCCAACATATTCTAAGCTCAGGTCAAATGGAATGACATAATTCCTCCCTGCCCATTCACAGTACTATACATTTGCTACCTGGAAATGCATGATTTTTTAACCTCCATTCCTGCCAATCCAAATCAGGTCCATTTCAAATGTTGTCATCTTTATGAATTTTTTCCTTTCTAACAAAAACAGATTCTTCCTTCAAATTTCAGAAGAATGCATTTATATGTTCTAACATCATCCATGGTATTATGTTCAATTATGTGTTTGTCTCAGTTATTCATACTAGATCAGAAATTATTTGAGGGCAAGAACTGTTATCTTGTGTACATTTGTAAGCTTTTGGTGTTCTAGAACATTGTCCTATTTCCAGGAAGTACTTAAAGATAATCACTTTAACCGATATTAATAAATGTTCTCTTAATATTGGCTGGTTTCTTGTCAGAGTCAAGCCAAATTCCACTCTATGGCCTGGAATTTGGAAAGAGTATTTCTTCTTGACCAGCGCCAGTCAAGAATAGCAAGGTCACATGTAGGGTGACAAGATCCTCTGGGCAGTACTTTTGACTTCAGTCTATAAGAGCCTGGGACTTAGACAAATATTTTGTTTGCTTGATTGGTTTTTTGAGGCAAATCTCTTTAGTAACTATCGAGCTTATCTCCTGATGAACTGATTCTTGGTGAGAACAAATTTTTAAAAGGCACAATGCTAGCACTAATTGTGACATTCTAATCTATTTGAACAAAGAAAGCAAACATACTGCCAGAGCATTGAGTAAAGGGATTCAGGTCTCTATATCCAAATGACCTTGTATGAGGATCAAAGTTAGGCCCAGGCTAACTGACATGGGTGGGAACTAACTGACATGCACATTGCTGATACTGCAAGACATTCAGGGGGAAATCAGAGGAGAAGCAGGGAGCTTCCCAAGGACCAAATATGAAGGCAAATGAGAAATATTTTCAAAGTTCTCAAAGCAAAGAGGTCAAAGGAATAGCCAGAAGTCAACTACTTTGCAACTAAAAGCTAAAAGCTTTCAGAGTCAGGAAGATAAAAGTAAACCTACACAAGAAAACCTACATGTTCTGTGGGATTAGTTCACCCATCTTGTCTATTCAGCCAATTCCTCTCAGTAGGTCCAGCTCCCGTGTGGCCCTAGGGCCAACCAAAAACCACTGGCAGGAAGTGGTACAATACTGGCTTGGTAGGAATGAGGAGCTGTTGATTCTGTTTGCTCTGCCAAGAAGCAACACCAGAAGTAGCTTCTTACTTTTTCAAAGCATTTTCTTAATGGCTATATTCTCTTCTTTGAGAGCTAACCCCATCCATTCAACTCTTTGGGGGGTCTTTCTTCTTTTAAATCTGCTAGAAAGTTGAATGCAAACCTCACCAGTTGCACCTCTCTCTCCCCCAAGACAAATATGATTGTTCTTACACACGAGGAGATGGCAAAGCCAACGAAGTATATAATCCTTGTTCTTGATACTTAGTGCCTCCCTCCCTCTTCTGGAGACCTCAATGTTTTTCCTTCATGTCAGTTAAGTCTCCTTTCTTTCCTCTCACTCTTTTTGGGTTTGTTTTTATTCCTAAGAATGAGGTTTCTCCAAATGCAAAAAGCATAACCTTCCCTTTGGCACTGTTTTAGGAGGATCGTGTCGATTCTGTCCTCTTTGCTCTCTTCCCCGCCTTCCCATCTGATGCCAAAGTAGAACAAGCTATTGCTGACAAATCACATGATGAGGCTTCTTGGCCCTCTTGCCCAGTGCTCATCCCTCAGCCAAGTTGCAAGTGACACAGTGATCATAAGCACTAGTCTGGAATCAGGAAGACTGAGGCTTGAATCCTGGCTTCATTACTTTCTAAGGAAGGGGACCTGGGAAAGCTATCCAGTTTCCCTGGGTTTTAGTCTCTTCACCTGTTAACTACCATCTGCTCCACAGGTGGATGTGTAGTGTGTTTGATAGAGCCTGACGCACCATAAAAGTTCAATATAGACTGATTTTAGTTACCTTCCTTTCTGAGATGTTATTTCTGAGTGGATAAGGGTAAATGAACCAGTTGATAAAAGCAAAGAAGCTGAACCCTACTTGCAGAATTTGAGGGACAATTTTCCCATATGTAAATAAACAAATGAGCTATTGAAACTTTAATTTCTAAAGAAGCCTCTGATTTGGGAAAGATTAATGTGGTTAATACTCAGATGAAGGGCCAGGCATGGTGGTGCATGCCAGTAATCCCAGTCACTTGGGAGGCTGAGGCAGGAGGTTTGCAAGTTCAAGGTCAGCCTCAGCAATTTTACCAGACACTATCTCGAAAGAAAAAGCACAGCTGAGTGTGGTGGTGTGTGCCTGTAATCCCAGTGACTCAGGAGGCTGAGGCAGGAGGATCACAAGTTCAAGGCCAACTTCAGCAATTTAGCAAGGTCCTAAACAACTTAATGAGACCCTGGGATTGTGGCTCGGTGATTAAGTGCCTCTGGGTTCCATGCCTGGATCCCCCACCTCCAAAAAAAAAAAAAAACAAAACAAACCAACTGGAGATATAGCTCAGTGGTAAAGCATCCTTGAGTTCAATCTCCAGTACTTAAAAAAAGAAATCAGATGAAGTGGTCAGGGGCACCTATAATCCCAGTGGCGGCAGTGCAGTGGTGGTGGTGGGGTGTTGGGGATCACAAGTTTGAGTCCACTCTCATAAATTTAGCGAGACCCTGTCTCAAAATTAAAAATGGTTGGGGATGTGGCTCAGTGTTAAAGTGCTTGCCTAGCATGCATGAGGTCAGCACTTAAAAAACAAACAAACAACAACAAAAACCAGATGAAAAAGAAGTATATTAATAAGAGTTGAGAAACAAACCAGAGCCCTGTCTGCTCAAGTTTCTGCATAATCAACAGGTCAGAAACCCAGAAGGGCTAGCATCTTTTGCTCAGCAGTTATGTTTGGAAGGTGCAGAGTAGCAACAAGGAGGCTGATAGTTTGGCTCTTAAATGTCCTCCAAAAGCTCACGTACTAAAGGCTTGGTCCCTTGCCTGTGGTGTGACCAGGATGTGGTCAAACTTTTAGGAAATGGGCTCTAACAGAAGGAAGTTAGGTCATTGTGGGGCATACCCTCAAAGGGTCTTTTGGGACTCTGAAACCTCTTTTCTTTCTCTTTTTGCTTCTCGGCCACCATGAGGTGAGCAGCTTGTTTGACCACACACTTCCACTATGATATTCTGCCTCTCCACAGGCTCAAAAGCAAGTGACTATAGACTGAAACTCTTGAAATTCTGAGCCAAAATAAATTCTCCTTATAAGTTGATTTTCTCAGGTATTTTTTCACAGTGACAGAAAGCTAAATAACATAGAGGAACAAAGGAAAGAATGTCAGATAAAGGAATCAGGATACGTAAAGCCAGGGGCCAGCTCCACTACCAACAGAGAATGAACCTGACTTAGCAGGCCACTGAATCTCTCCTTACCCTTATATTACCTATCTGGAGAATAAGAGGACTTATTGTTTGGGGATTTGAAAAAGAGACCACAAGTGAAAGGGTCTTTGATAAATTGTAAAGGATTGCACAAGTATCATTTTTAATAAGAATGCTGGGCCTGCCTCTAGATGTCTTTGTAACACTTTTTAGATGAGACCTACTGACCAGCTGTTGGGTCTAAGTAGACTAACCCACTGACTAAGGGACAGGGGACTTAGGGTCAGGTCTCTGGCACATTCGTGCCTATCCAGTAGCTACAGAGCTGTCAGGCTGACTGAAGGACATATAAATAACAGAAGAAGAGAACTTCCAAGAGCTCCATGTGCCAGCACTTACCCAAGTAAAGCAGAGGCAGTTGGGGAGGGGGGTGATCACCTGATCACAGCAGGGAAAACCCCACACAAGGGGCACAAAGCTAGCCACCCACCTCCCTGAGAACCTGGGGCAGCTTGCACAACTCTCTATTGAATTTGTCAATGTTGACTGTCCTTACTCATTTACTGGGATTTAAGAGAAAATGAGAGAAATGACATGCTTGCATATTCCTCTTAAAGGCCCTGGGGGGACCCCTCCCAGGCTGTCGGCATTCCCCTCTAGGAGGCCTGAAGCAATAATGCTGAAGCTGCCCAAGCTCAGAGGATGTGGTTTTCTTTGTGAGTTCAAATTGGTAATCTCATCATGTAAACTGGCTGGACTGCTGTACTTATTTATTTATTTGCAAAGTCAAAAAAATAAAGTTTATCTTACACTATCAAGGAAGGACAAACCTTATTTTTACTTCTAGAATGGCAGACAAGCAGCATGGGGCAGAAAGAGTTCTAAAACTTCAATGGATTTGAAAGAAAGCTTTAGCATGCTGCCTGCTTGGTGCTCAACCTTCTACTAGTAGAAACCACCTACAATGATGTGATGGCATCTAATTCTCCCTGAATAACTTAAGCTTGTCTTGCTTCCCCTGGTAGAATGAAGGCTCCCTCAGGACACATCCTTAGGTTTTCCTCTCTGCAGCCCATATTACCTATAATACAGTCTTGGGCAAGAGTCATTCACAAACTGTATTGAATTTGCTCTGCCATGGAAATAACAACTGAAGCATTTGGGGACTAATGTGTAACTGTGCAGAGATGGAGGAGTCATTAAAGGAAACCTCAGGCTGTCCTCCCTGCCTGCAGGAAGGTGGGGCACAGTACTAGAACTCTTAGCAAAAGTAGCAGCAGATGATATGCAGATTTTCTGATGGAGCTCATGTTGTTTAATATATAGGCAATGAGGACTCCTCTGGGGAGGGGGAGAGAAAATCACTGTTTTTTGTTTTGTTTTGTTTTGTTTGAGATGGGTATCACTATGTTACCAGGCTGGCTTCAAATTCTTGGGCTAAGTGATCCTCCCACTTCAGCCTCCCAAATGCTGGGATTACAGGAACACACCTCGGAGATTGGCTAAGAAAATCAGTGAAAACACACAGGCAAGTATACTTCCAAAGGGTTTTTTAACTTGAGCAGCACACACTGGGCTTCCTGAGGCCATAAATGTCTCCACTGCCTTATTTCATTAAATTCGAAACTCACACCATCATAAATATGTGTCATCAATTGTTACAGATAATTGTGTGTGTGGCTTTCAAAGTCACAACATAAGAATAGATGCTAGAGATTGGGTGAACAGTACTTAAGCCACATCTGTGGCTGAGCTAGAGCGTGCACTTTACAGTGAGTTGGGCAGGAAGGAGGGCAACTTGTCTCTGCAAGGTACTGGAAGTACTGCAGGAGTGAAAGCTGCAGTTTCTGAAAAAGCTCTTGTCAAAGACCAGAGAGATCTGGGCTCCGTGGCACTTACCCCTAATCCCAATTACCTGGGAGGCCAAGGCAGAAAGATCACAAGTTTGAGGCCCATCTCAGCAACAGAGACCTGCCTTGCCTCAAAATAAAAAAATTAAAAGGCTTGGAAATGTAGTTCAGTGGTATGCCCCTGGGTTCAGTCCCTAGTCGCCCCCACCAAAAAAAAAAAAAAAAGACCAGAGGGAAAAGATTAATAATAAAAGTGGACTTTGGGGGTAGGAGGGAGATCCAGCAAAACTGATAAGAAGGCTATGAAGACAAAGCACTTTTGAACTAAAACCTTTAAGGATACACTTATGGCCTAATTCTTCCAGAAAACAGGAGATAACAGCAGGGATGATGGTGGATATAAGAATGTAGAGAGAAGAAGAGGGAGGAGAGGAGTAAAGGTGGTTAGTAAGTGGAAGAAGAAGTAGGACATGAAGTGAAGTCCTCAGACTTGAAAAAAGGGATCTGACAAGGACCTGATGACAGGCCTGCAAGTTCTCTAAAGCTGCTGGGAGAGCTGAGCAGTGCTCCACAATTTTGGTGGCATGTTGTAGCTGGACCCTGCATTTTAGAAATCCTCTCCCTTAGCTTCCATGAGTTCCTCGTTTACTATACTCCCAACTAACCCAGCCTGCCTGCTGGTCAGGACACTTCCCTGAAACACTCTCACCACTGTCCTTTCCTCAGGCTTCTCCCCTAAAGCCAAATGACAAAATGTTCTCCCCCAAAACCCAAATGTTCTCTGCAAGGTACTGGTAAGCAATGCAGGAGTGAAGGCTGCAGTTTCCTCTTCATTCCTCAAGATCCAATCCTAATGCCATGTACATCTGCTGCACTAGCATTAAACAGCCTGCCAAAGGGGGTTCCTCTAAAAGGGTACACTTGTACATTGCTGGTGGGACTGCAAATTGGTGCAGCCAATTTGGAAAGCAGTATGGAGGTTTCTTGGAAAGCTGGGAATGGAGCCACCATTTGACCCAGCTATTCCCCTTCTTGGTCTATTCCCTAAAGACCTAAAAAGAGCATGCTACAGGGACACTGCTACATCGATGTTCATAGCAGCTCAATTCACAATAGCAAGACTTTGGAACCAACCCAGATGCCCTTCAATAGACGAATGGATTAAAAAAATGTGGCATTTATACACAATGGAGTATTACTCTGCATTAAAAAATGACAAAATCATAGAATTTGCAGGGAAATGGATGGCACTAGAGCAGATTATGCTAAGTGAAGCTAGCCAATCCCTAAAAAGCAAATGCCAAATGTCTCCTTTGATATAAGGAGAGTAACTAAGAACAGAGTAGGGACGAAGAGCATGAGAAGAAGATTAACATTAAACAGAGATGAGAGGTGGGAGGGAAAGGGAGAGAAAAGGGAAATTGCATGGAAATGGAAGGAGACCCTCAGGGTTATACAAAAGAACATACAAGAGGAAATGAGGGGAAAGGGAAAAATAATACAAGGGGGAGAAATGAAGGTCAATAGAGGGGGTAGAGAGAGAAGAGGGGTGGGGAGGGGAGGGGAGGGGGGATAGTAGAGGATAGGAAAGGTAGCAGAACATGACAGTCACTAGTATGGCAACATGTAAATCAATGGATGTGTAATTGATGTGATTCTGCAATCTGTATATGGGCTAAAAATGGGAGTTCATAACCCACTTGAAGCAAAGTGTGAAAGATGATATATCAAGAACTATGTAATGTTTAGAACAACCAACAATAAAAAAAAAAAAACTGATTTCAGAAATTTTATTGTTGAATCATAGAGTGACATCTGGTTCTCAGGATCTGCTAAACTGGCTGAATTTGTACTGACTAGTCAGTAGTGAAAAGTTGGTAGTTACTCATTGCATTTAAATGAATGATGTAAATTCAAACACTTTATAAATTCTTTTGTATTAGTAACTTATTGGTTATTGAGCATCATGTACCAGGCAGTATGATATTTTAAATCACCTTATTTAAACTTAATTCTATTATTTCCCATTCTAATTGTGAAATAAAATATCTATGTAGCTGTTAAAAAAAAACAAAAACAAAGGGGGTTCCTCTGACAATCAGGGGAGGATAGTGAATCTAATAGCCTTTCGGTACAAGGGAATCACACAGGAGGCAAAGTGATGAGAACTCAGAGATATTAAAATATGTGTGTGTGGTACTGGGGATTGAACCCAGGTGAACCCAGGGGCACTCTACCACTGAGCCGCATCCCTAGCCCTTTTTTAATTTTTATAGTGACCAGAACTTGCAACTGCCTAGACTAGCCTCGAACTTGCTCCTTGCCTCCCAAGTCGTGGGGATTTTAGGCAAGCACTACCACTGAGAAAATAAATTTTGAAGAATACACTTCATAAGTATTCACATACATGGCAATCCAGGGCTGGGGGAGAGATGGAGGCTGAAGCACTATTTGCTTTAGCTTTGCCCCTTCCCCAGTGCCTCGAACACTCTGAGCATGCTCAGTAAGCATATGATAGAGTAAATGAAGTAGCTCTTAGGTTCAGCTGCCACTTGCTAGCTCTTGACCTTGCAGGCAAGTGACTCACTCTTTGCCTCCGTTGTCTCACTAGTAAAATGGAGATGACAGGTGACTGCAAGGATGAAATGAATTTATATGTGAACAGTACATATAAAAGCATATGAAAAGTACACTAGAATCATCAGGAACACTCCTTTTATGGAAGCTAGTGTATGCTAATCTGCTGGAAGCTTTTACGTACACAGGAATCTTCCACAGCATCCCTGCTCTGGTCATCTCACCTCTGCTGAACACTCCCAGCAGGAAGCTATCAGGCTGCAGAGGCAGCCTATTCCATAAAGTTCTTCTAAAGGTCTTCTATAGGGAGTTGAAATTTGCTGCAACCTTTATCCTAATCTTGGTTCTACCTCATAATAGGAGCCCAGAAAAATCAAATCCTTTCTTCCATCTGACAGGTATGATATTTCTCCTGTTGTTCCCTCCCAACCCTGAACCATCCTGGGTCTGCCCACCGCTGCACATATGACCTGCCATGACAGCTCCCAGCAGCCTAGTCCTCCTGAAGTACAGCTGTAATAGTGCCATTCAGCCCAGAATGAAGCACCTCAAGTAATAATAAAACCTCACACTTACACATTTTATCACACATTTCAGATTATCAAGTATTCCTCTTTCTCTTTTCTATGATAAGATTATGTATAAACACAAACGTGTTTCAATCTTCATAAAACTCTGCAAAGAACCATTTTTTTTAAAAATCCTCTTGCTCTTTTTTCAGAGGAGGAAAATGAGAATCAAATGGTTAAAATGATATGGCTATTATATTCACAATGGAGGTAAGATCCAATATAGGTGCTTTGACTCTAAATTCAACACTATTTACACTAAGTTTCCTTAGTGTGAGTTGCCTTTTTTCTATTGCAGAGCTATTTTGATGATGGGAACTTTGGATTCCATCTATGGTATGAATAGGGGGAATAGCTTAATGACTGCACCTGGTGTTAACTATATTGTGTTGTCTAGAAAACAAACTCTTTATCCACTAATACCCACTTTCTATGTGCTTCTCCCCCATGTGGTCCTGAAGGTCTTCTCAGGATTTTTTTTTAGAAACACAAAGTACCAGCTAACATTACTGGGTCACCTGAATTAGGGCAGACTGGCCCAGGACTTTTACTTTGAGGGGACTCTTACCTCGGCTGGGCACCTTATTTCTACTGAATGCAGCAGTCGGCTGATGTCCATAGGGATGTATTCCCAATTCCTGGGCATGACTCACAGTTCCTAGCAAAGATTCAGGGTCCCCAGGTCCACCGGTACTCAAGAGCAGGGGGCTGTCGTGGCAACCTTTGGTCAATGTATTTGAATTCCTGCTGTCCAGAAAGCCCTCCTTGGCCCCCTCACATGAGCAGTCCTCTTCCATGCTCTCTGAATGCATTATTGCTGGCTGATGAGCATACCCGTGGGTCGGGGCGGGTGAGGACACCTGGGAGATACATTCTTGTGCCCTAATTTGTAGAAGATGCTGGGGGCTGTTGTGGTGGTGGTGGTGATACGAGTCAGCATTTTGATAAGATAAAGCCTGGCACTCTGTCATACTCTGTCCCCCGAGGTTGGGAGCCATGCTCCCAGCATCCCCTTGGTTCATGTGCCTGAACAATTCTTGGTACTCTTGCTGCTGCTGTTGCTGCTGCTGTTGCTGCTGCTGCTGTCGCCTTTTAATGAGCTGCGCAAACTCTGCTGGGGGCAGCCGAATGTCCGAGTGGCCGGTGAGCGAATGCCGGGGAGAGAGCAGTCCTTGAAGGATGTGGGGTACCTGCTGATGTCTGGTGTAGTCTGTCGGCGTGGGGGACAGCAGGGCCTGCTGTAGTGCCGATGTGGTATAGTGTGGTGCCTGCTGGTGTGCACTGGGAGGGAAGGTGGGGAACTGGTCAAGTGGAGGGACCTTCAGGGCTTGGGTTGGAGGGAATCCCACTCCTGTTGAAGGGCTGTAGCTGCTGGGGGAACCCCGGGACTGGTCCGAAAACAGGTGGGGGTGTAACTGCGCCTGGTCGTAGTTAGCAGGGGAGAACCGATTCACGTTCAAGCTGCAGACACAAAAGGGAGTGAGTACCAGGTATTTGTGTGATGACTGCGCTAGACTCCCTTGGGGAACAGCCACTACCCTTCCTCAGCAGGGGGCACCCAGGTACAGAGAATGATGGTGCAACCAGAGGAGGGGAATGTTTGCACCATCCCTATTGGTCCCCTTATTTGCTTATCCAAGTCTTCCAAGTGTCATGGCAGGCACTTTGAGCATCATTTGAAGGCAGCAACCTGGCCTATCTTAAAATGTTATTTGAGATATTAAGAGGCAGCAATCTCTTAGAGGAGTGATTGAGAGAGTTGAGACTCCTAGAAGAATGGACCAAGGAAACTGGTATTTTAACATACTCCTCTAATGGCCTTTTCTACAATTAGTAAAGGAGCTTTGCCATTTTCCTCCTCTGCCTCATTAGCATTTTAAACCTAGGTCCATAAGTAATTTACAAGTTCATTCCAACTCCACCACTCTGGTTTTAGAAAGGGTGAAACACAGCCTAGCCAGACCTTTTGTACTTCCCTCTTTCTCTCTCGCCCCTCCCACCTAGGTGACCTGGATAGAGGGCTGGGTGACATCAGGCAGTCTTACCTGTGGGCCTCTGCACTGTCAGCACTCAGCTGCTTGGACAAGGGTCGGTGCCCGTAGCTGAAGGTAGCCATCAGGTTGGTACGGTGCTGCATCTGAATCTGACTGGCACTGGGGCTGATAGAGATGCCCCGCCCGGCGGAGGCTGCAGCTGTCCCTGGCATGCTGCTGAGCATATCAACTGGCTCTTGTACTTGGATGGTCACCTGCTGTGACTGGGTAGGCTGCTGCATGCCCAAGCAGGTTAGTGCCACATTAGGAGGAGGGGAACAGTTCTCGGGCTGGGGCTGGAAGACTGCACTTCGTGAGGGTAAGCCTTGGAACTGGGAGGCAGAGGCAGCACCTGGAGAGAAAGGGACCTCACAGTGACTGACCAAATGCCCAGGCTACCTGCCTGCTGGAAGTAATGGAGCCAATGAGGAGACTCACATCAGATAGCATCTAGAACAGTCTTCTCAAACTTCAGTACACATAAGTCTAGAGAACTTGTGAAAAAAACAGCCAAACATGGTAGCCACACTTGTAATCCCAGTGACTCAGGAGGCTGAGCAGGAGGATTGCAAGTTTGAGGCCAGCCTTGGCAACTTAGCACAGGCCTAAGCAATTTAGTGAGACCCTCTCTTAAAATAAAAAATAAAATGTGCCAGAGATATAGCTCAGTGTTAAAGGTTCAATCCCTAGTACCAAAAAAAAAAAAAAAAAAAAAAAAAAGGATTCCCAGGTCCTAACCACAGAACTTGGATTCAGTAGGTTAAGGTAGGTCCCCCAGAATTTCTACTTTCAACAAGTTCCCCTAAAAGCTGGTCTGTAAACTATACTTTGAATAATTCAAATCTAAATAGTGCTTCTTCTCAAACTTGAATGTATACATGGACTGGGGATCTGGTTAAAGTGCATATTACCACTTAGCAAGTCTACATCATGTGGTGATTGCTGAAAACTCCACTAACCAGAGGCCTCTTAAGTCACTTCCACCTAAATAAGACAGGCTCCCAAATGCACCATGGATAACCAAATGGAGGTAACAGCAGAAAGCTTCTGGTGCAGTTTTCTCTTTGGTACGGCCAGAGAGGGTTTTAGTAAATATGTTATTAATAGCTAACGTTTACTGAAAACTATTTATGTCAGAGACTTGCAGTGCTTTACACATATTTATTCATTAAATACTATTATTGTTATTGTTAATATTATTACTGAGAAAGCTGAGGTACATAGAGGTTAGAGAATTTATCTAAGATTTCACAATCAAGAAACTGGTGGAACCAGGATTAAATCAAGACAAGCTGGGTCTAGAGCCCATACTCTAAAATATTATGTTATTCTGCCTTTCAAATGGTTCATGACACTCAAGAGGAAGATGGCAAAATAAAACAAACCAACCACAAGGACTAAGACATTTTCCCCCACGTGGCATCTGATGGTTCAGCCTGGGCCTCTCCACTCACCGTGAGACTGGATCATGGCATTGTTCATGGGGGGAGGGCTATTACTCGGTTGTCTGAAGAGATGGTTGTTGGGGTGGTTGGGGGGTGGACTTGAAGGCTGAATCCTTAACCTTAAAAATGACAAAATGGATAAATAAACTTCCTGAGGTGACAGAATAATCTTGAGTTAAGTTTCAGTCAAACACAAGTAGAATCCATTTTTTAAAAAAAAGTTTTGATAAGCTTACCATGGTAGAAAACCTCACATGAACCACCTACCACCATCATTTAAAAACCTATACGCACCCGCAAAGATAGGTGCAGTGATGCTCGCCTATAATCCCAGTGGCCTGGGAGGCTGAGGTAGAAGGATTATGAGTTCAAAGCCAGCCTCAGCAATGGCAAGGTACTAAGCAACTCTGTGAGAATCTGACTCTAAATAAAATACAAAATAGGGCTGGGGATATGGCTCAATGGTTGAGTGTTCCTGACTTCAATCCCCAATACCAAAAAAAAAAACCCACCCCCCAAACCCTATACACATCTTATTTTACCAGTCTTCCCCGCCATAGGAGACGAAGTTCACTGTGCCTATCTTCTTGTAGAAGGTGACAGACTATTCTATTCAGGGGGCTAAGAAAAGGAAGTGGCAGATTTCAGGGAGACTCCTGACCTTTAAACTGGTTTCTCTGCTTTTTAAGCAGATGTTTCCAAAATGAATGCTAAAGTTGGTCAATATCTCCCACGAGTCAGGCCTAGGATGTCTGCTATAGAGCCAGTGGTTTAGGCATAACATAAAGTGATTTGTTACCTCTGGAGCTGGTGGGTGAGGAGGGCTGGTTGATTTTCACATGCAGCCTGAAGAGGTGGGGAAGGCTGAGGAGGACAGATAGAGTCCTAAAACATACATGGGGGAAAGGAAAATAATAATTGTGAGCATGAACAGTAATCAGAGCTATTCTCAGGAAGGGAAGAAACAGAGAGAACTATCTGTGATTCAGATTTATGCTTTTGTTGTTCATCAAAAGATCTGTTACCTTTACTCAAACATGTCAACCATTAACATAACTCAATGCCACTTTGCCCTGAGTGTGCTCCTCCAAAATGCACAGGCAAATCAGCCTGAAGGCAAACTCCAAACAAGTTGGAGAAAGCAAAGAGTGAGGGCCTACTTGAATTTGCTGCTGGAGAATTTGATGGTGCTGCTCCTGCTGGTATAGCATATGCTGCTGCTGGGTCTTCTCCAGGGTTCTTTCATCAATCTGCCCCCCGTACATCTTCTGCAGCTGCTCACACTCCTGAAGGGAAAGCAGTTAATACAGATGGGATGCAGCCAGGCCCACCCCATGCAGTGATTTCAGCGGATGCAGATCTGCCCAAGGTCTCAGAGGCAGAAAGAGCCACAGGAGAAGAACAGTGTCCTTGATGAACAATTGACCCATTTATACAGGTATCTGTGTACTAAATATCTTCACATTCTGTTCTGTATGAACAAATGGGAAACATCAAGGATACACCAAGGCCCGCATATGAGAGAAAGTGTCCAATGTGAAATCTGCGTACAAGGCACCTGCCATTCAAAGCAAGGTCATCAGGAAGGCAGAAAGGAAACTGGCCCTTCACAGAAACCTGGAGCTACATTTCCTGCCTCTGGGAGCACCATTCCATACCAACTGGAGAGTGTGACACGTGAAACAGGATCCAATAAGACCCAGCACCCTGTATCAAGAGGAGAATACCAGGGTTGCTTAGAAGTACCTTCCCTGGAGTTTCCCCCTGAAACCCAAGCCCAGAAATTCCTTTCCAGTAAACTATAAAGACAGTAGAAAAATTTAGTCCCCTCACAGGGGAAGCAAGTTTGATCCTGGGGAGAGCTGTACATAACAAGAAGTAAGGAAAGAGTGTTAGAAAGCTCTAGTTTTTTTTAGCCTATAAAACTGCAGTGTTGCTGGCATGAATAGGGGTAAAAAGTTGACCACCCCAGAGCTCCTGCAATACTGGTCTCTGTTACCCATGCTTCTCCAGAGATGCCTGCCATCTCTCCATTACCTGCTGCAACTGTTTGATGCTGCTGTTGTTGCCCATTTTTTCCAGGTGAGCTTTGAAGGCCTGGATGCTTGCAGCCCCATCTGAGAACCGGCGCACAGGGGAGAAACGCTCCGTGGGGAGGTGCAGGGTGTTGGAGTCCTTGTAGGTGGAGCTGAATACATGGGAAGAGAAGGTTAGGGGCTAGGACTCAGGGGTTTTGACCAAATCACACAGGGACTGCTGTTCCAGACGAACACAAAGATGGCTGGCTGCATGTGTAGCCCTGCGTATTAGGCCTATTCCATGCCATGTCCAGAAGACGCTTGCTGTCCTAGCCTGCTTCCCTTCAGAGGACTCCAGGGATATATTTTCCATTTCCACTTACCTTTAGTTGGCCAGTTTTCTAGGCCTGAGGTTCTGGGAGCAAGTAAGTTCAGTTTTTATAAATACACTAGACCAGAGAGAAAAGCTCCTCAGGATCCCCCAGGGCCGGCTGTACAGGAGCTTTTAAAATTTATCAGATGCCTTCAGAGACTAAAATTCACCATTTGACCCACAGTTTTCCCTATGCAATAACCTTTGTATGACCAGAGAGAAACTACAGTCAGCTTGTGGTCAAAGGTCTGGCCTGGAACTCAAAAGTTCTGTACTAGAAAGGGAGGGTGAAGGTTGGGGTGGAGAAAAACGGGGACTTCTGAACCTGGAACGGACACAGCACATTCTTAAGGAATGTGGGCCTCAAGATCCTGCACGTACCTGGTGAACACACACGCGGTTACCTACTGTGAATGTTAACTTCTCAGAGCAGCAGCACCCACCCCTCCTTCCTGATAGAGGAATCATATGCATTACCTTCAAAAAGCCTGTGCTCAACCAGAACAGTCAGTGTTTTACAGAAAGAATGAACAAGCAATTGATAAAAGAATGCATCAGGGTTAGAAGCTAACACCTATACTTGTTACCTAATCAGAAAGAGATGTTTATGGGTTGAGGTAAGCAGATATAAGACTGCCAAGGCAGCATTCCAACAGCTGATGGAAAGGGTCAGGGTTTCATAGCCAGGATAGAGATGACATTACACTGAACTATGAGTGAAATGATGGATCACCTTGCCAGTTATTCAATTTGGACTGAAGCAGAACCACAGCTAAGGAAGCAGGCTAACAAGTGAGTTCAAATACAATGCAGACAGGGAGGGACTGGGGAAATGAAGGCTGTGCAAGATGTCAAGAGAATTCTGGCAGCAGGCAAAGTCCCTTACCCTCCTCTACTAATGATGACTTCTGTTTCAGACTACCTGAAGCTTGACAGAGCTGAGCTAATGAAATGAATACACACACATATTTGTTTCAGTAACATAAATGACAAATGAACTGGGGATGATGAATGATGTGAGGGAACACACTCCAGAAACAGCGATCATGAAAGCTGATTTCAGGAGCACGTTCTAAAAACTTCTCTTTTCTGTCTTTACTTCAGATTTTTTTGAGAGAAAGCAAGTGTTATTTTCCTCCTCAAATTCAACTCCTATGCTGTCAATATTTTTGAATAACAGACACATTTCTGATTCATTCAGAAAGCTGTGTTCTTCAAGCAGTGAATACAATGTTTCTACACAAAACCCATTCTCTGTCATCAGAGCAATAACATCCCAGGTTCAGGTATTTCATGATTTTTTCAGAAGCTCAGGTTGAGAAGAGACTGATCCCAAGGTCAGTCGGGCACAGTAACTTCAGAGGAACAGTTCTGATGGAGTTGTTCATTTTAGAAGCACTGATGGTAACACTTGTGCTTGATTTTATTTTTATTAGCAATCACATTCAAACTCAAGACAGCCTCACATTATACTCTCCCATTAAACTCTTCAAACAGAATTAGTTCCCCACCTGGATAGATTCCATCTTGTGTTAATTTTTTTTTCACACCTTAGAATTTTTTTAAAAATTTAAATTACATACTTCTAGGAATGGAAAGTCTGAACAGACCCCTCTTCTGTCCCATGTTGGACTTCACTCTTATACCTCAGAAGAACAAATACACATACTGTTCTTTTATCATTTTCTCCAGAAAAAGAAAGAAAGAAATTCAATAACCTATCTAGATGATCCATTTTCAGTGGTTATGGACTTGGAAAGTTTCTCTTTTCCCTTGAAGACTAACTTGAATCTCTTTGTGTTACATATTTGTACAGTCACCCCACAAAGACATGCTGAGTTTAAACAAATGCCCCACCTTACACAATCTGTCACTCATAAAGCATTCATTTGTTTCCAATTCAAACTGCCTTTGGCCACAGAAACCTTGAAACACTTTATCAAGAGTGTTCACATAAAAACAGACAGCAGACAGATTTCTAGCAGGCAAGGCCTTGACAATGATTGTAGGCAGGGTGGATATCACATAAACAGAGCTGAGGGCCAATGTAGTCTCCCTTTAGTAACAAGTGTAAACAGAATATAAGGTCTGTGACAAAGGCTGACATGGAAATGTGCTGATCCTCATGTTTCCCTGGAAAAGTAACTCCCAAGGGACACCTAGAATTAAACAAAGATCCTCAAAGGACATAAGCTAAACATAAAAGACCCCCACGAGGGCTGAACAATGCAGTGTCAGACTGGAAGGGCAGGAAAGATGGAGATGAGGAGAAGTCATAAAGCATCTGTTGGGCACAAGGTTAGAACCCAGAGTTACAAAAAGGAAATTTACGGCGGAGGGTGGGGGTGGGGGTGGGGGGGCGGCGGTGGAGGCCAAAATCCCTCGAAGTGTGCTTCAGTGTGTGCCAGCCACACAGGTCCTGAGAGATTTTCATTTGAAAAAGACTATCTGTGTCATGAGAGTTTTAGTTGAGAATCTTCATTCTTGTTACTCCTAACAGCTACTTTTGCTCAATTATTCACAGCCATTTATAAAAGCTTATCTTTCTTCTTCCAGAGTTCCAACGTGGCACTAATTAAGTCCCAGTCTGCTCAGAGTTCACCTGTCTCTGCTGATTACATGATGTCAAAACGGGTAACTAGTACATAAATACACTGCATCCTGCTTGCAGTGTGCACTGGTTGCGAGATTTCATAAAAACATGCCATAAAGTGGATCTCCTTAGACTGTATCAACTACTCAACCTTCCCAATTAAGATTGCTTTTCACTGTCCCCCTGAAAAGACTCGAATAAAATATGCTTGAGCAATTGATGGTAACTTTGAAAGTGCGGCCTATCAGCATGTGGACAGCTTCAGAATGGAGTGGCTAAGATTTTTTGTCATCAAGGTATTCACAGAAGACAATCATCATCTTCTTACTCTACCAAAGTATCATCTCCTTTGTTTTCAAGCTCACTTGGGTTTGATGAAGTTTTCCTAGTCAGGAAAGTTAAACTCATTTTTATTTCTTCAAGAGAATGAATTCTAAATGTTAACAGAGAGTTAGCAAAAGATTTTGCTATCCAAACACTCAAAGAATGACTTCTCAAGCACATCACTCAAAAGGATGCTGCCTCCCTGCTCTACCATGCACAAGGGATGTATCTTCCTCCATATCCAGCCTGTTGTTCAATGGTAACATGATATGAAGTGCTTACTCTTTTGAAGGTGATAAATTATTAAAGATCAAGTTTACTGAATTACTATAAATATTACTATAAATCCTTTTATTTCCAATTGACCTTCTGAGGGCTTCACTTCCTTGAAGCTCTCAAATTCAATTTATCTATGAGTCAATATCTAGAGTCATGGGAATCAGCTGCAGACAATAAAAAAGGTCTGCAAGATAATTGGAAAGAAGAATCTAGCATTGCTTCAAGGCCCAGTAGAGAACCTTTGCCCTGTGCAATACTTAGTGCAAGGAGCTGAGAAGATGTGAGTTCAGGATGACAGATGGCTTCTACTTAAAGATAGTCACCATCAATGGGAGACTAGTCAGAAGGGGCCTGTCCACGAACCTCAAGGAGCTCACACTGTCATGTGGCTACTCACCGATGCTGATCAGGTACCAGGTGAGGAGGCCAGACCCGGGAACGGAAAGGCTGCTGTCCTAGCTGCCGTTGTAGGTCCGGTGGGATCTCAGCTGTAGGGTTGGTCATGGCCAGTGTATGTCTTTTGGACCTATTTGCCAAGTACCTGCAACAAGCAGGAGCACATTTCATAGTAAAAAAGACAGACAGGAATACTCCTCCATCAGAAGCATAGAAGTTAATCCAAAGCACTCAAAGAAATAGTGCCAGAGCTCAAAAGGTGCTCCACAAAAAACAGACTCCTGAGTCGATGACTAACTGGCCAACAAAAGTTGGCTTAATATTGAAGTTTGAACTTAAGAGTACTCAGTGAAGAGAAGCGAGAAAGCAGATCTAGCTTGCAAAGATAGGAAGATCAACTTTCCTTATTTAATTCCATTCAATAGAAGAATTTATTTTCTACATGTTAATTTCATTCCTCTTTTCCCTCCAAATTTCTGAAATACAAGTCAGAGAAAATGAGCCCTAAGGCCTCTTCTTAGAGATGAGCCAAGGAGGATATGTTTCTTGGTCCTACAGACCCCAGGTTTTGAGGATGTTCTTCCTAGAGTTCATAGAAAACAGACTCTTCTATTTAGGGATGAATTTCAGAACTACCTCTTCCCTCATGATCTGGGTTTAATCATTGGAGAAGAAAAACTGGACCCGTATTCTGAAGAAGATGAAGTAATGAAGCCATGTGGAGTGTTTAGAATTGTTTTTAAGGGGAGAGGAAAGGCAAGGCAGAAAATCCAAAGGGTTTCAAAAGCTCAAGAATTACAAGCTGATGACTTTTTCTCTGAAGACTTTCTAGACACACACTTTGGCAGCACCACCCACAAGATACCAGTCCCCTCTGTCTGGTGGATGGCTTCCACACCACTGCAGTTCTTCTTGGGTACGAAAAAGAGAAGTTCTATTCCTTTCCATTCTATCAAAGCCAATGGAAATTAATCCTTAAAATGCTAGTCTAAAAGAAGAAGGTGGGGCTGAAGAAGTAAAGTCCAAGAACAAAGAAGCTAAAATAAAATATTGCTGTCCCTTTTAAGATTGGAAGGCAGTGAACCTCTTCATTCCTCATCTCTTCATGACACCAGCAGGGCTCGTCTGCAACCTTACATACCCCGTTATCAGCAAACTACAGAAATAACAGCATCGAGGGGAAAAAGTCATCACATTTTTCCTTCTATTGATTAAACTGCAGAAGAAGCTGGCCCACCTAACAACTCAGTTCAATTTGGTTTTCTTTCCACATGGGACCAGCTTCATTTTGAACAGCAGCTCTCATATGGAGCTCCTGGTAGTGGGAAGAGAGTCCTGGCCAGCAACCATCAGGTTCTGAAAAACCGGTCTTGTTTCATTCTTATCTACCTTGCCCATTTCAACTAAAGTCAGTTAACAGACTATAATTAGCAGTATGTAAACTTGCTAAAGAGTAAGCCATCAGTGATTTAATATCCATTTGATAAAGACACCCGAAGTTTCCCCAAGAACCCACGAAAACCATTTTATTTCAACTTTCCTCAAGGGAAAACATATAATCTTGAAGAACACCTGGATTTCTGGGAAAATACATGCTGGATTCTGGTGAAACCCCTCCCCGGAAAATAAGAAAGACAACTCCCACCAGGGGACATGCATGGAGCTGAGGACCCGGGCTAATGGGACTGAGGTCAAATGAACAGTACAGCATGCCTGATGGTCACTGCCGTCTCTGTGAATTAGACATCTCTCAACAAGGTTCTGCAAACAATGGATATTTGCATCTGTCCCTGGCCCAAATCCCATATATTTTTTTCAATATCTCTTTGTTGGTACAAGGGAGTGGAAGAAACACACAGCAAACAGTACAAGAGGTATTCATTCATTCTCCTGGAAAGGAAGAGTCCATGCCAGAGGTCCATGGCCAGACTAGCTAGGATCACTGTCATCCCAAATCTCCAATTCCTTTTCAGTAAACAGTTCTTGGCAGGTAGGAGCAGGCTTTGTGCCTTGTGAATACTATCAGAGTTGCAAATATGAAGGCAGGGGACAAGGAAGGAGGGAGGGAGGAGAGAAAAAGTTCTTATGGTTATTGCTGTCACTTAGGGGACTTCCAATGGTGCTTACAGAAATGAAATTTTCTGGGTAGTCTTCTGTTACTTCCATGTGGGGAGGAACATGCCATCTGGCTTGAGCAAAGAGACCACACAAATGTTGAAGCTGCACTGTACCACCTCCTTGGGCAGAGGTGACCTTTCGTTGGTTGCAGGGGGAGCCTGCCCAAGGACGTTCTGCAAGCACTGCCAGATGTCACATTACCTCTGCACAGCTTCCTGATCTGGCTCCCCATCTGAGCTCTCCTCGTCCACAGGGGTTACTGCTGGCACTGCCTGAAGAGAGACAGGAAGGAAAAGCTCAAGATGTCAGCTTATTCTCTAATGTTTCTAGATATTCTAGTACTCGGGTTTGGAGCAAGATTTTCTGTTAACTTCCTCATTAATGATACTCTTCTAGGACACCTGGGTTACATGGAACTTTGATATACCATTTTCCCATTTTTACCTTGCTCAGGTGATATCAATTCAGATTTCTTCCTCTTACTCTTCATTCATTGATTCATTTATTCAACAAATAGCTGAATGCCTACTATATTACGGAATAAAACGTGAGATTTACAGACAAGAGTCCTTGACCTCATTTTACAGTCTAGTGGAAGACAGAGACAAACAAACAATTAAAAAACATGACCAAGTTCTCCACACTCAACAGAAGGGGGTCCTTGAGAATCATGGAAGGCTTTCTGGAGGAGGTAACCTTAGACCTAAAGGATATACAGGACCTAACTAAGAAAAGAGGAAAAGTCTTCTAGACTGAGAGAAAAGAGAAAGCCTGAGCTGTTAGACAGCCTGAAAACAGAGAAGAAAACTATTTACCTAGCAAGTCTAGGAACTGACCTGTTGTTTCATATTAACGTCATTTCCAGTGTTTCGATGTCTTAACTCCAGAAAAGCATAATGATGTTTTTAGAGAACATTTTTGTATATAACATATAATTGTGTAGTTGTGATTCAATGCCCTAAAATAGCTGTTACCCACCAAAACATGCAAGTGAAATGAAAACCACTACAACGCATGACTGTAGTCCTATCTCCATCTGCCTGAGGACTGGAATGCTGCGTGCCTTAGCCACTAGAGCAAAACTCATGTTCATTTACCACAAAAGAACATTTTTTAAAAATGGAAGATAATTACAAAACAAAAAACTTGTTGAAAAATTTCCATCATTTGAATGCTTCCAGGGTTTCCAGATCCTTTATGATAATTCTGTAAGGGCAAAGTGAACAATCAGGCAGGAAGGGACTATAGCTGAGACAGGGGAGGGACACTGTCACCAGTAGCAATGACCTTGAATACTACACAAAGAAGTTTATTTTGAGAAGGGCAGTGGTGAATCACTAAAGAACTTAAGCAGGAGCATGATGTCATAAGATTTGTACTTGAAAAATTAGCTCTCTTTAGTTGCAGGGTAAAAAGGGCTGGTGGCAGGGAGCAGGAGATGACTGGAAGCAAGGAAGCCAGTTAGGAGGCCACCATGTTAATCAAGGCAATGGGTGACAATGATCTGAATTAAGAAAAGGGTGGCGAACAGAAGGAGAAGATCTTTAATTCACAGCATTAGACAACTGATTTAACAGAGAGAATAAGGGAAAGAAAAGAGTTAAAGAGAAAATCCATGTTCCTAGCCTGTGTAACCAACCAAGAGAACGACAGTGTCATTTACTGTCATGCAAGGGGAGGGAGAGGTTTCACAGATTCGTGGTAAGTTCATTTGGGGACATGCTCACTAAAATTTAGGTACTTGTGAGATAATGAACTATAGCTATCCACAGGCAATCATACACACAGATGTTTAGAACTCAGAAGAGCGTTCTGGGTGGAGAATCAAATGGCAACTGAAATTATGGGAGTAAACAAAATCATGCAGAGGGTATGTCAAGTGAGATGGGAACAGGGTCTAAGATAAAACTCTGGAGGTTTTGTCAACTTCAAGGAACAAGCAGAAAGGAAATCTGAAAAGGAGGGGTAGGAGGAAAACAAAGAGTGTGCTGGCACAAAAGCCAAAAAAAGAAAATAGTTCAAGGGAAAAAATGGTCAACAGTGACTAATGGAGTTGGGACATCCAAAAAGATAAAGATTAAAAATGCCCACTGGATTTATCAACAAGAGCTTGTTAGTGACCTTGGCAGAAACAGTTCTAGTGGACAAAGTGTTATCCCACCCCAAAAAAGCTGTCCCTGACCCCTTCCTAGCCAATATTGATCCTGCCCTGCATATCTCTGCCCTCTAATAATCCATGTTATTCACTTTGGCACCTATTCACACATGGTCTGTTACTATTGTTCAGATACTTCACATAGGTTCATCTTGTTTTCCCATATCATAAACTCACTACATCAACAACTATGATATATAATTCTTTTGTTTTCTTGACTGCAGTGATAACTGAAAGTTTGGTAAATGGACTTATACCAGTCTATAAAGTATTTTGTTACCAATCCATGATAAGGAAAGTATAGATATAAACAGTAAGTATAAACAGTAAGTTGCTAGAGACTTTATAACAATTAATGGTATAATTTTGTCTACTGAATTAAATTTAAAAATCAGCCCTGTATTTGTTATGTTTTTAAATTTTCATTTTTCTAGTGATTCACTTTTACTGTATTTTACAAAGATATCAGTGGACAATGGATTGAAGAATTTAAAAAAAAAGGTTCTGAGTAGAAATGAAATGATCTGGTGAATTATCAAGTTCAATTATTATTGAGCTAGGTGTGGTAGCACACGCCTATAATCCCAGTGGCTTGGGAGGCTGAGGCTGAAACAGGAGGATCTCAAGTTCAAAGCCAGCCTCAGCAACTTAGCAAGGTCCTAAGCAACTCAATGAGACCCTGTCTCTAAATAAAATACAATAAAAGGGCTGGGGATGTTGCTCAGTGGTTAAGCACCACTGGGTTCAATCCCTGGTACAAAAAAGTCCCCAGCTACAGACAGTTTGAGAAGCATTACCCTAAAATGTCACTTAAGCACTATGAATATAGTTAGTACCCAATCTTATTGTATGATGAAAATGAATAAATGAATGAATGAATGACCTATGAGAGAAAAATAACCAGATATAAACTGAACTCAGAGGAGAAAAAAAAAATCTTTGAATGTGGTTGTCACAGAAAGAGTGTGGCTGGTTACAGTGGTACATGCCTGTGATCCCAGTTACTCTAGAGGCTGAGACTGGAGGATTGGAAATTGGAAACCAGCCTGGGCGACTATAAAGAGGGCTGGGGGTGTAGCTCAATGGTAGAGCACTTGCCTAGCATGTGTAAGGCCCTGAGTTCAATCCCCAGTAGTACCCCCCGCAGACAAAAAACAGTGTGATTGAGAGATACCAATTGACTAGGCCAAAGCTGAATAATCAAATAATCGAGGTTCTAGCAAAATTTGAGATGATGCTGATCAAAAGAAAAAAGGAAGTTGAGATGGCAATTTTGGAAACCTGTCTAAAAAAGCAATTAATTTGGGCTGGAGTTGTGGCTCAGTGGTAAAGCACTTGCCTGGCATGTGTGAGGCACTGGGTTCGATCCTCAGCACTGCATGTAAATAAATAAAAGATCCAGGTTTAAATTTTTTTTTTTTAAAAAAGCAATTAATTCCAAAGAGTGCTGTTTATTTCAATTGCCTTCTGTCCATCAGGGGAAAGTTGTCTGTGAGAAGCCTCTAAGCTGCAGGAATAAGGCCATATTTAACATGGGTGGCTGTAAGCAGCTGTTGAGGAAGAGCCTTTCCAGGAGCAGGGTTCTGAGTAGAAATGAAATGATCTGGTGAATTACCAAGAATAAATACTGGAAAAGTCTACTAGACTGAAGAAAATGGGAATATACTGAGCATCAAAATTTTGGAGAAAAGAAGGAATTCAGACATTTAGGTGGGCCGTGGGTTCCCAACCTCAGGCAAACAACCTTCTTATCAAAAGCCTCTGAGAAAATCAGCTGGGTTCTGTATTGCTACTTACTGGTGTCATGGTGACAAGTGGGGAGGGTCCCCGTGGGCGCTTCAGCAGCTGCTGGGCATGCAGTTGGATGTTGGCTCCTCCATCTGATGCCCTCCGGCCAAGGGGGCCCATTCCATTCAGCAGCTGTAGGGTGGGTGGCTGTAACAGAGACTGCTCCTACAAGGAGAAGAGTGGGCAGGATTGACTCGTAAAATAGGGGGAAAGAGGGGCAAAAACAGCAGAATTCCAGTCCACTTAAATTACAGGGTTCTTTTTTGCTCTTCTTTTTCTTTTTATTTATTTATTTATTTCATACATGACAATAGTGGAATGCATTACATTCATGATTCTTTAATCATGATGTAGACTACAGAAATCCTCCCTTTCTCACCCAAATTGCTTTACAAAGGAGATCATACTTTTCTACAAGGAAATCCTCAAATCCTCAAAGTCTCTCAGGAGTTCATTTATTTTCCTGGGGCAATACCTCTCCCACACCAAAAGTACCTTATACTCAAGCTGCCCGGTTGGTTGCAAATTTTGCATGGGCAACAGATTGTGCATGAAGTTCATGTTAGGGGCCACCTGCAGGAATGGAGCCTGAGGAGTGACTCCAGGAAAGCCAGGAAGGAGCTTCTGCAGATCTTCCATAACTTCCGTGCTGACAGAAAACAGGAAGACAGAGAAATGTGGTTAACATTCTTTCTCAGAGGTACTTAAATCCCCAAATTGATGATACTGTTATTTAATAGTTTATTTTATTTTTTACTTTTCTCCTCAATTTCTATTCCAAGAGTCCAAAGCAAAGCAGAAGCCTAATGTGTGAATTTGATTCTGACATTTTACTTCCTGGGATTGGGGACCGCTATTTTTCATTGACCACTCAGTAAAACCAACAGCTCTGAGTCAAGAGGAAACACTGGCACGAGTCCAGGTCAGGTTTTAAAAGCTCGGAGGTGAACAGCAAGTTTCTGGGGAACATGAGCCACTGCTAAGACAATGGTTGCCTGAAGTAGCAACTGATTCACCAGGGAAAGAATGCAATTGCTCCTGTCAGTGCTGACAGGACAGATAAGTACTGGATGTACAGGGCTGTCATGCTGCAACAGTAGGTTCTACAGCAGACTTTAAAATAAGAGACCTTTGCACTAACAGCGACCCAGGACTCCACCCCTTTGAAGCTGACACACTGTGTGGGGACAGAATGTTCCCCTTATTGCCTGTTTGATCATCGGCCGAGAACAAGAAACATAAAGCAAGCAAATCAGCAGGCATGGGAGTTTTGGAAATTCACTTAGAGAAAAGAGATATTTATAAGAAAACCAGCTTTGCCCCTAGTTGAACTCTCAGAACTCTTGCTACAACCTTCTCTTTCCTACTCAGCAAAGAAAATATTCATAAAAGAAGTAGGCTATTTTTAATGTTGAGAGTTCTCAATTTGAGAACAAAAATGGAGTGAGCTGGCTGGCCTTCAGTCCTTTTCCCCAGAGTGAGGGCATCAGGGAACACTAGGAAAGACAGCTTTGGGAAAACACTTTGAGAAATTGGTGTGTTTCTGAATTCTTGTTCACTTACATATAAAAATAAGTCAGTCCAGATATATATCACATCACTTGTTCTCCCTTCCTAGACGAGTCTTGCACTATAACATGTGGCAAATGTTTCTAAAAGCTGTCAAATTTAGATGAATTTTAAGAGGTATTTCTGTGTAACCTAGATTCAAAGACCTCAATCTTTGTGGGCAAAGGTACCATCACACTCCTCACCAAAGTACTGTGATTAACTGGCATGATGATTGCTAACAGCCCACTAGAGCCCCACGGATACTGCGCAATTTTTAAATTAAATCCATGTTGATCTACCAGGATGTGTTAAGGGTTAAAACTTATCTTAGCCACTTAATTTAGATCTCATCTGGGAGACAGCATAAAGTAGAAAAAACGTGCCATGAAAAAGCCAGGTAGGAATCCTCTGCCCTGGTGCTTGGCAGGGCTGTTGCCCAGACACTCACCGTGGGTCAGCCACACCCACTGTGTGCCTCCTCATTGACAAATAGCGGACAAGTGCTTCAGGGGAAGGCTCTTCACCCTCATCGCTGTCCAAGTTCACTGCCCCATCCGGCTGAGGCGGGAGGGAAACACACCCAATTAGAAATAGGAAGGAAGGAAAGGAAATGCAGATATGGGAAAGAAAGTGGTTTCATTGGCAACTATCAGAGGATGCTACTTGCCTCCACAATTTGGTTCTCTGGGTTGATCAGCTGCACCTGGGGAACGCTGATGTTCATAGCGGTACCTGCCTGCTCCGCCTGTAAAGTAGTACATAAGTATACACAAATACCTTAAACATTAGAGGGAAATAATGATAGCTTTTCAAAGTAGTCCTGACTGCTAAAGTCTTTGGTTCCTCTGCCCTTAGAAGTCACAATAAGTAAGCATTCTTTAGAGAGGACAGTATCCCAGTGATTGGCTATTTCTTAAAAAAAAAAAAGAAAGAAAGAAAAGAAGAAAGCAATCATTGTTACCATCCATCCTCTCTGTCAAAGAAAGGTTCAAGTCTTGATTGGTCTCTGACAAAGGAAGAGATGATAGAAGTATGGAAGAATAGGAAACTCCTTTGACTTGGGGTTGGTGAGCAGCAGCTAACCCTTACCCCCTGGTGTTACGTGTCCTGAACTAGATCACTGGAGACATTGCCCACCTGGATATTGACTGGTGCTTGAAATGCCATGGCTCGGGGCATGCTAGGAAGTGCTCCGAGACGCAGGGTTTTATGTCTCTTATGTCGATCACACAGCAGGCTGTAGATTGCACTATAGTGATCATAGGCATCTGATCTTAATGACTACCAAGAGAGAAGGGGGGAAAAAAGTAAAAAACCCTGATGAAATGGCATGTCAATGACCAAAACCCTTTCAATAATAACATCAGAAGACCAAAGCACCTTCTTTCCTTCCTTCCCAGGCCCAGGAGGGGCAGAGGAAGAGAAAAAGGAGGAAAGCAAAGAGACCCAAGTTCTCAGGAAGGAGAAAGAATAGAAAATGCAGGATAGAGGAAGGACTACTACACCTCACTTTGTTCTCCACTCCTTCCTAGATACCTGTAGTGTCCGCTCTTTGTCTAGTCCCATGTCCTCCATGGCCAAGAGGACATCCTCATTCAGAGGGTCCATCTGCCTTTCTTCCTTCAGTTGCTGGCATTCAGCTATTAACTGTAACATGAAAAGATGCAAGCAGTCAAATCCCCAATTAATCACCTCCATGTGGCATATCATATACAATGACCAAGCTGTTCCATGCACCCTAGCTGAGGGTGTTTTGGCCTCGGAGTCTAAGCAAGACAGCTCTGGTGAATGGCTATGAGCAGATACGATCCCCCTGTTTCCTGAGCTCCTTGGGGTACCTCGGATAGTCACAATGGTTTTGAAAAGATAGGCTACAGAAACCACTGAGCACACTAAGATAAGAGAAAGGAGACATCCCTATGGTAAGAGAGCTCTCGAACTGTGGGCTGTAGTATCTTGAAAGCCAAAAACAAACTAAAATTTGGGAAAAAAACAGTAGGGAACCAGTCTCACCATTCTCCAGCAGTTTAGCTGATTTTTACAGTCTTTGTTTTCTTCCCTTGCTACTTTAATATTACCCAACAGTTTGTACCTTGTGCCTACCCATCTTTTCAGGTATTGTCCAGATTACAATCACATGCAAAAGAGACTGCTGTAGCTCTAAGAGGAGATCACCAAGGCAAGAGATGGCCAGCTCACCCTGTCGAAGTTGGGGTCAGCATCTCCTATCTTCATCCACTTGTGCTTACATATCTGTTCCATAGAGAGGCGCTTATTTGGGTCTAACACCAACATGTGACGGATCAAGTGCTCACATTCTGTAACAGACAAACAGCCTGCCTTCAGTCTCTGGTGAGGGCAGGTACCAGTGGATCTGAGCAACTTACAGGCAAGACCAGCAGGTAGCTTCTTAAGCTCCTTGCTTTTCATTTTGTCTCTCTTTTTCTTTGATTCTTACCTATCACACTTCTTTCTCCAGAAAGGGGTGGGCAAAGCAGAGACAGGTGAAGATGTGACAGAAGGCAAATGCTTTCACTGAAAGTCTGACCAGAAAAATCTGGGGATAATCCACGGATTTAATTTATTCATATTAAGTATGGCCCCATTTAATACAATTAATGGAGAGAAGAATATCCTCTAAAGAGATTTAGTTTCTCTCAAGGTTCTCAAAATATTCAGTTCTATCTTCCATATGTATTTTATTAGGTACATTTTAATGATTTGGGTTTTGCTGTACAATATGACTCTTCAAAACTCAGGGAATTTGACATTTATGATGGTATAAGGTATATATGGAGAGAGGAACAGGCAGAGACAACCTCTTCACCATACGCTGGGATTCAGCTAGGCTTATGTAGAATTTTTTCCAAGGTTATGTAAACATTCACAGGTACAAAAACGAAGCTGTGAGTGAGCGATTCAGATCAACAGATATTTTTCTCTGGGAACACATACTATAGGTTACACTGCAGAAAAAAACAATAGGTTAAAAAAATCAAGAAACCTATATTCAGATTTCAAAACCATCTCTATTTCTCATTTTTCTCATCTGCAAATTGGAGCTACTGAAGATCATGTGGCAGTAGCAGTCATGACAAAGGTTGCAGGTGATAATACAGTAGCAGTATTAACACATTCTTCTAAGCATTTTACGTTATTATTATCTCATTGGATCCTACAGCAATCCTAAGAGGAATGTATTATCATCATCCCCATTTTAGAAATGGTAAAAATTAGGCAGAGAGAAGAGCTGATAGTGGATCCAAATCCCTGAACCATTAATTCAACATCTTCATCCAAGCCACCATTACAGTGTATTTAGACACCTGCAAATCTCTTCACTGGTCTTTTCTGCTTCCAGGCTTGATCCATAGAGAAGCAAATGGAATTTTTCTGAAGCATAAATCTGGGCCTATTGTTACCTTGCATATAACTCCACAATCTCTTCCCTTAATCCTCAGAATGAAAATCCAAAGTCCTGGGCCTCTGAGGCCCCTGCCTAGTCTTTGCACATGCTCTGCACACTCCCATCCACTGGCTTCTACATTTGCTCCCTTCTTTAGCTCGAATGGTTACTTCTCAGATCTTCTCGTGTCATTCAGGTAAAAGCTTAAATGTGAGTTCCTTGGAAAGCTCATCCCTTACCACCTACTCTAAAGCAGGCTGCCAGTCACTCTTTATTACATTTCATGAATTTTCTTCACACGAATGATTTGTGAACTTGTCTTGTTTATATATTTACTTGTTTATGTCTCTCCTACCACAATATAAGTCATTTTCACTACCATGGCCATATTGAATCTCCAATACCAAAAAATAGTTATTACACTTACTAGGAGAGTTCAATAAATATCTACTGAATACACAAATAAGTATTTATTGTATTTAATTCTGACCCTAATCAAATAAGACTTTATTTGTGGAAATGTTTTATATTTCACTGAATCTTTACAACAACTTTATATCAGACACTCTCATTAGCCACATCTATAAATGAAGAAGAAACATGATTTTGAAAAGTTAATGTACTCAATGTTGTAAAGTAATGTGAAGCTGTGCTCCTGATTACTGTGTTATACATTTTTAGGTTGATATACATTCTGGTTGATCTATTTTTCCAGGGAAAATTCAACTCTGCAATTTCCACAGCATTTGGCAAACACCATGCTATACCACTCTTAATTTTTAATATTCTCTAGCTTTAAAATACAAAGAAGTTCCTAAATCAAAATTACTTTATATCAGGTACCAATTTGTTCTTGTGGTATGATTAAAAGTACATTCACATGTAGAGATCCAAAAGACTACAGTTTCTGTATCCCTCTAAAACAAGAGTAAATGTCATCTAAAATGTTAAAGCTTCATTAAAATTATGTTTTCAGAGTAGCAAGGCTAGATTGCACAACTGTAGCTTCACTGACAGACATGTCTATGGTCTGTAATTACACAAGGAAAAAAAAAAGTCCTTCATTTAGAAAGTTGCTAAAGCTAATGACCCCTCCATAGGGAGAAGGCCAGGCCTTCTTTGAAAGTTAGGAAGTTGTTGTCAAGGCCTCTAGATGGCACTCGTTTGTTTTCCTTTGATCTCCACACACACTAGTGCTTAAAATGAGATGACCAAGGCCAAATGACATTCGGATACAAGCTTGGGTTAAAACAGGGATTTTATTTTTTTTTCAAGGCGATTTCCTTAAAAACAAAGCAAAACAAAAAATACTGCCACAAGTCCTAATGAAAATCAATCTATCTATCTTTCTATCTATTTATCTATCTATATATCTCATTCAATTTGAGGACCTTGAAACCTCTATTTAGTTGTCCTTAATCATCATTTGGCTTGGATACCTTTGAAAATGACCAGAAAATTCTGCCCAAGAAATTATACACAGAAACCATCATGTAATTTTTCACTGTTCAAAACGCTAAAGAAGCTTGCTATAGTTTCCCTAAATGTCTACAGGTCCCAGAGCAAGAACTGCTGGTTACGATGCCAATGCCTCAAGGACAAGAGCTTTTATCTTGTCTGCCCTACATAATATCCAAAGGAACAAAAATCTAACACTTCTCATCTGCTGCACAGATGGTAAAATATGACAAAATGCAGAATGTTCGAGTAGCATCATCAATTCGTACTTTCTCTGTGTTATACAGCTCATGAAATTATTAAAGAAGATTTGAATATACTGTTCTATATAAACTATGGAAAGAGGATGAAAATGAAGGGAATAAATGTTCCTGAACCTAAAAACACAGCCAACCACAGGATAGTCAATTTGAAAGAGTGCAAAGATGATGGGTCCTCAGATCAAAGCGTGTAAAACATCAGCTTTTCAGATGCCAACAAGTACTCTATTTTAATGTCTAAAATGGTCCCATCACTTGTTCCCTCCCAAAGGCCAGAGCCTTTGATGCTAAATGAAACTGAAGTACTCTGGGCAATGAAGGAATATGCTGCTCTGCTTGTGTGTGCCAGAAAAGCAGCTTCCCTTCGGAGGCTGCTTTCATCTGCTCTGTGCGAGACGCCAAGCGGTCTCTGCAGTGAAAATCACTGTGGGCCCATGAAACTTGATACGCCAACATAATGTTAACTAGAGGATGCCCAGAGCAGGCGAGCCCCGCTGTGCTGACAGGCATGATGACTGTGAGGAGAGCGAGCTCCTGTAATGGGCAGGGTCCTAAAATGGGAATGAAGATTGTCAGCGTGACTCCAGCTAAGAAGGAAACATCTTTTTTTTCTTTTTGTCTTTGATAATAAATCTCTAAAAGACGTTGAAAGTATTTGGCTTGAGGAGGGACAAAAATATTGAAGATGGTAAGGGATTAAAAACCAACTTTAAGTTCACCTAAGACAGTTTCACAGAAACTCTGCCTCAAGTTTCTAAGGTAGGAAAAGACAGAACTTAAGAAAGAATTTCCTGACTAAACTTTGAAAACATGCCACCTGAAGACAGGGTGAAGGCAGCGAGGCTGATTTATCTTGGAGAAGAGAAGGTGGGGGTAGGAAGGGGCATGCTGGGTGTCCTTCAATATCTGAAGGGTCATTTACAAAGATGACAACAAAGCAGATTTGTACTGTGCTAAGGGCTTGAATTTAGAATAATTAGGAAGTCACAGGTTCACTGTAGGAAGAATCTTTTTTTAAAAAAATATTTTTTTAGTTGTAGATGGACACAATAACTTTATTTTATTTCTATATGGTGCTGAAAAACCCAATGCCTTCCACATTCGAGGTGAGCACTCTACCACTGAGCTACAACCCCAGCCCAGGATGAATCTTTTTAATGATCAGGATCTAAGGAGGGGCCAGTCCAGCAGGCAAGGTCACACGTGTAGCACAACTAATTTTACTTATTTTATACATCAGTATTCTGGGTAAGATTTTACTTGAAAAAGTAAGTCCAGAAACAAATAGATAGGATGAACTCCTTGGACACACCACCACCAATTCCAAGTCATGGGACTGTGACAAGGGAACCATTTGTCCTATGAAGTAGTAGTAAGCTTACATTCACTAGAAATGTTTAATCAGAGATTGGCATTTGAGATGCCATTAGAAGGGCTCCTAGCCTTAGATCTGAGGAAGACTAAGAATCCTTCAAGGGTGGTCCCTGTGGCTTACAGAGGTGTGCATCCCCAGTGACTACCAAGATAGCTGACATGGAAGAGGCCCTAACAACTTCAATATCCTAAAATCCATAAGAATATAGGCATGCTTCACACTTTTAAGCTGAAATAACCAGAAAACTATCGTTTCACTTAAGATTCAGATGTGGCACTACATGGGGCCAAAAAGGTAACTAGATGGTTTTTAACGTCTCCCACAGGGGTACGTTCTCAGTGATCTTTTCTAAAGTTATACAGAATAATCTTCCCTTCACGTTAGTGGGTGACCACCTGAGGAGATCTCGCCTGCACTTGGGTAGAGCTGCCGCAATGAAGCAATAATATAAGAAACCTAAACAATTCTTGGCAACTAAATCTCTTCCAGAAACCCTGTGGACTTCACTTATAGCATAATGTTCCTTTAGCATGTTGAAAAAGTAAGAGTGAAAGATACACAGAAAACAATACACACAGGGAAGGAGGGAATGAAGGATTAGAGTAAATCATTCAAATTACTAACATTTATTTAGCACTTATATGATAGAGTGTTAAACTCTTTAAGTTAATTCACACACCAACCTCTATTACTATAATTTGCATTTTATAGACATAAAAACTAACAATCAGAGTTGAAAAACTTGATCAGATAATAAAAGGCAGAATCGGGATATAAATTCTAGTCAGAACTCCATAGAGTTCTTAACCTGTATAGTAC